TTATGTCGTCGGCAGACAGGATGTCATCACAGTCTAGGTTCTTGACGCAAGCATTTATAAAAACGAGGAATAACGTGGGGCCTAAGACTGAGTCCTGTGGGCCGCCACTCACCACGCTTACCTCTGAGGACTGATGACGCCCTACCTGCACTCTTTGGGACCGTCCAGCCAAAAATCTCTGGATCCATACAAGAAGGGGTCCACGAATTCCAGCGTTACGCAATTTGTACAGGAGACGGTGAGGAACGCTGTCGAAGGCCTTTCTGAAGTCGATGTAGATGGCGTGCACCACATTGCCTTCATCCCGTGCTTTGGTCCAGCGTTCGAGTGTAAAGAGCAGTTTAGTGAGGCAGGACCTACCACTTCAAAAGCCGTGCAGTGCATCGGAGAGGAGATTGTGCTGCTCGGGGAACTGCATCAAAGCCTTCTTAATGATCTTCTCAATGATTTTGCAACAGATGAAAGTAAGATTCACTGGCCTATAGTTATTCGCGGACGCACGACTTCCACCCTTAAAAAGCGGAGTGATAGCAGCCAACTTCCAATCAGATGGCAGGCATCCAGTAACAAATGAAGTTTGGAAGATCAAGGCTAACGTCTTGGAAATTTCGAGAGCTGGCTCCTTCAGCAGCTTGCCTGGCATAACATCAGGGCCTGAGGAGGTCGATTCATTTAAGTTTATTAACTCATTCCGAACAATTATTTCGGTTAAAAAGACGGCTTCGAGGGTAGGCGTTTCTTCATCTTCACAAGTGGGCGAGAAAAAATCTGTTTCACTTGTCACGGCGGACGGAAAGGACTGAGAGAGATGTTTAGCCTTATCCTTGTCATCGGAGATTTCCGCACCCTCAGCCGTTCACAGCATTAAGACGGAATCTTTGTTCCGTGTGCTCTGTCTAATGTAGCTGTAAAGCACTTTGGGAGTAACCATAGCACGGTTCAAAATATCCTTTTCAAGGGCTTTCCGATCTTTGGCGATGAGAATTTTGACCCGATTTCTCTGTAACTTATAACTGCTATGGGAATCTGGCGTCCGGTCAGTCAGGGATATTTTCCATAACTTCCTCTTCTTGGTAACTTCCTTCTTGAAGGACGGAGTCAACCAGCGAGGTCTATTTGTTAGTCTTCTGCGCATGATTGGGCAGTGGTTGGAGATGAGGTTGTGTACTAACTATTTGAACTGACACCAAACCTCTTCGACATCGCATGGGAGAGTGGATGCCCAACCGAAAAGACTAAGATCCTTTTTCATCTGTTCGAAATCGCTGCGCCATATATTGGGTCGGGAATCGAGCGGTTGTGCAGGCAGGGAGAATAAGGTTTATTCCCACACGAGAACTACATTGTCACGCTGACCCAACGGAAGGAGGCAATTCACAACGTTGATGTTGTCAGACGACGTGTTGAAAACATGATCGAGGAAGCTCATTTGTTGGCCCCCTCGAACTCTCGTTGGAAACACCACGTGTTGGGTGAGAAACAGGTTGTCGGAGGTACGTAGTAGCTGTTGGTTAAATGCTGCTTCAGAGTAGTCGGGTGAGGCCGAGCTCCAGTTTATTTGAAGTGCATTAAAATCTCCAACGATGAGAGTAGTCGGCCACGTTGAAAAAAATCTGAACTTCTTCACCAGTTGGTCACCAGCGTCAGGGTCATTTCTCGTGGGGCGATATACTGTCAAGATATCGAGGCTTTGAGAGCCCGGTGCTCTTATGGTCAGCCACAATGCTTTCGTACTACAAGTCAGTTGGGCAATTTTTTCTAAAACATGCAAGCCATTCTTAACAAATGTTACTATGCCTCCGCCCTTTCTGTTTTCTCCGCCTCTGCGGAACAGTTGAAATCCAGGGAACATAAGCTCTCTATCATCGACCTGTTCGGACAACCATGCTTCTGTTATAGAGATAACGTCTGGGTGGAGGTCGTAGTTATGGATGGGGAGTTCATCCAGTTTTGAAAGTACACTTTGCGCCTTGGTATACGTGAATATGAGTTTCGAGTTCATGCGAGATTTGTTTTCAACCCCGACACAGGCTACTGGGGTATCTGTGCGGTCATTCGGATCGCTGGATCCTGAGGGGAGCGGAATGTCGTTTGACTATCCAGTCTGTATAGATTTTCAAGTTTTTTCTCCGTTGGTTTGCCGTGTTCTCAATTCTAGGACAAGTTCGCGGCGTTTCATTCTCTCGGCATGTGAGTAGTCCGGCTGAAAAAAAAACACTCCTTTATGGGAATGCTTTAATCAAAAACGCCTGGAAAAGATTAGTTTCGCCTGCTCATTGTTACCTAGGACGATTTTTAGGGGTCGTGGTCACGTCTGTGGAGCGGCGTTTGTACGGCTACCAAGACGAAACGCCTTTAGGGCTGTGACATCTACTGTTGGTTGCAGCAGTGCTTTTAAAAGTTTCTGGACTTGCTCTAAGTCACGCACAGACACATCCCGTTGAGAAGCAGGATGATAAACTTTCATTATGTCACACATTTAAGCATACTCCACAAATTAAGATAGTATGAACATCCCTTTTCGAATGCGAGTAAAAATGTGATGCTTTCGCGCTGGAGTTCCACCAAAACGCCATACGTTTTCATTATTATTTTCGTTACTTGCAAAATCTAGGCGTAAATAATTGCGCCACATTCGGTCACTGACGAGAAACCGCGATATATTGAAGTGCTTAACATTACTGCATTTCTCAATTCTTTATGCCACAATACGGAGACGAAACAAATGCGGCCAATAAGATGGGGCTGCTTCATCCCACCAGATTCACATTATGTTGTAAAATGTAATTGTTCAACCGTGTTTTTTATAGTCGGGGGAACTGTGCAGCGCTGACGCAAGTTTGCAGTTTCGACGAAACTCACGCCGTGGTTGGGATCCCAGACTGCTACGAAGCTGGAGGTCATTTACGATCGAACATTCTAGAAGCGCTGAACTTACATTTAGTTTATGCAATAGGCGGGCGCAGGACTCACATGAGAGAATAATGTCTGAGGGGCATTGAGACCTGTGTGTATAACGAACTCAAGTGTTGCAGAGCTCAGGCCTTCACGTCAGTTGGCGAATTCCCATATCTTTCCGGCATTTCATGCTCAGAGTGCAGCAGAAACTTTTCCCGTTATGCCGCCAGGTAGCGTTGACTGATTTGCCAGTAGTAAAAGTGCTTTGAAAGGCGATAGTGACTTAGCCGTTTGACTTTTCGATGCTGTAGCTGAAGGTGGACTTAGTCCGTGGGCTATCTGCCTGAACAATTAACTTGTCCAGGCAACGTCTGAGCCCTGAATATCAAGGGGGAGATCGTTGCGCTTGCTAATAGGCCGTGCACCAGGAAATCATAATCCAGGCAGTTCGCGGTTGCCCCCTCATTTTTACGTGTCGTCCGATGAAGAAATCGCTGTCCACAAATACCGCTTTTGAATAGTTTTTTTTGCTCTACAGTCACTACTAATGGAGGTCAGTGGACGTTTAGTTTGAGAAGTCTTTCACTCATCGAGCACCCAGTTTTATCTAAGTAACTACGTTCCACCTGATATGGAGCACGGATTCTTCTCATAAAATGACAGTGATTGAAGAAAGCACTGCCGGTGAATTTGAATAGCAGCTAATGCCATTGCTCAGTTTTGCAAGCCTCACTTTGCAAAAACCATTCTGATTGTCAATTATTAATTATTAAACATGGTTAAAATGGTTAATCATTAATGGTGAAAAGTTGAATATTCGCAGTTCTGTGGCACTCCACGTTTCCTTGCTGTCTAGCTGCCCTACAGTCCGCCTCACGCTCTCAGTCCACTCGCCGTTGGGACAGGGAGAGACTGGCCAATTAGCCTCGCGACCGCTAGAAGCCAATCAAAGCTGCCGCTGTTCTGATTGGTTGGCGGACACTGAGACAGAGCGAAAAGCACACACATGCTCTGAGGGCTACTAAATCCAACGCCCGACAGTAAGAACAACTTGCGAGAGACACCGCCCGCGGCACCTAAATTAACGGCCTCTGGTATGCTCTTACACATCAATGGGCTTGACTAACCCAATCCGTCTTCCCAGAGTTCTGATTTCGGAATCTTTGCGTCGTCGGTCATTGGGAACTCCCGAGTCGGCCTCCAATCTCAATAGTTCTGTCAATTTTGTTAAATAACGCAAACGACAAAACTGACCCATTTATTGATAATAAGGAGAGATAAACACGCCTGTCAATGGAAACATTCAAAGTCTGGCAAATGAAATCCGGGCATTATAAGATATTCCTGTGTCTGCCTGAAAATGTGCAGATTCGGGAATATCCAGTAAACGCAATAAGGAATTTAATTGCGTGAGAACGTGAAACGCCTGTTAAGTGCCAGGAAAAAAATTGACGGGAAAGGTGTGGATGTGAGCAGCTGCCGACGGCTTTGACAGGAGTGCCTAAATGTCCGAACAGCGGCTATGCGACGGAGCTTTGAAAGGCAATCTCATAAAAACATATATAACAGAAGCTGGCCGTGAAACGTCTAAGAGAAGCGGCAAGAGGAGTAAAGGAGAAAGAAATCTGATATGTGCATCTTGCGTTGTTGCATGAAGCTGTATTTGGCAGATGAATAAAAAGACAAAGTAGGTGTGTGTGTGTGTGTGTTCCAGAACAAAGTGTCGGGGATGCGGTCCTGCCAGTTCAGGCACAGGATGCGACGAAGACAACTGAGGTGGAAGTGGCTCAGTCGGCGTGCCTGATTTGTGTACACTGTCCAAGTATCCGCTCCGTACAACAGCTCCGGCAGGATGATGGCCTTGCACATCTTCAGCTTCGTGCTCATTTGGAGACCGTGACGATTCCAACCTGTGCTTTGGAGGCGACCGAAGGCTCGGCTTGCTGTAGAAATCCTGCGGGACTCTTCGTCCTCGATTTTGGTGTTAAGGGAGAGGGTACTGGCCAGGTACGGGAAGTTCTCCACCACTTGCAGGTGGGTTCCGTTCACGCTGATTTGATGCGCGTTGGGGAGTGTGGCTGAGTTGGGTGGCGGTTGATGCATCACCACCGAAAGTTCTCGCAGGCGACAGAGAAAAGGTACATGCTCCGTTGCATCTCCTCTTCCGAGGTGGTGTTCAGGACGCAGACGTCGGCGAAGAGAAGTTCGTGGACGGTGGTTGTGGATACGCGCGATTGGAAGTGCATCCGCCGTTGATTCAGGATGTGACCATTTGTCTTGTAAGCGATGCGGATCCCGGGACGTTCATCACGGTAGGCGTCTATCAACATAGCAGAGAACATAAGACTGAAGAGGGTTGGCGCCAGCACGCATCCCTGCTTCACACCGTTGGCCACTGCGAATGTCTCTAAGACAGATCCGTTATCCGTGATTCGCGTCAACATGTCATCTTACAGCTGACGCACCATCTCGGTGAATTGCTCGGGACAGCCGAATTTCTGCATGATCTTCCACAGTCCTTCACGATTCACCGTGTCGAAGGCTTTCGTCAAGTCCACGAAGGTAGAGTACAGGTGGGTCCGCATCTCCCGGCACTTCTCCTGAAGTTGACGGGCGGCGAAGATCATATCTGTGATCCCACGATGACGACAAAAGCCTCATTGTCTTTCCGGCAGAAGGCCCTGTTCGAGATGGTTATTTAGACGATTTTGGAGGATGCGAGCGAAGGTCCTTCCGGCGATGTTCAGCAAGGAGATGCCGCAGTGATTGTCGCAGACTTGGCTGTTGCCTTTTCGCTTGTAGAGATGCATGATGGTTGCGTCCTTGAAATCATGCGCGACTTCACCTTGACGCCACATCTCCTGGAAGAGCGCAGTCAGGTGGTCCATGAGCTGGGGACCGCCGTGCTTGTAAACCTCAACAGGGATTGCGTCCGATCCGGGTGCTTTCCCGCTGGAGAGCCGCTGCACGGTCCTGATAATTTCCTGGAGAGATGGTGGGAGGTCAAGGTCCACGTTTGTCTCCACTTGCGGCAGACGCTCGATGGCGGCGTCGGAGATGACGGAGGGGCGGTTGAGGACGCCTCGGAAATGCTCAGCCCATCGTTGTAGGATTTGTGTCTTCTCAGTCAGGAGAGTACTGGCGTCGGCGCTGAGAAGAGGAGAATTGTCCTTCGTCGGCGCACAGTAGACAGCTTTGATCGCGGAGAAGAAGTTCTTCCATTCGTTGCGGTCCGCGAAGCCTTGGATCTCCTCAGCTTTGCGAGCAGTCCAGGCGTCCTGCATCTCGCGCAGTTGTTGCTGAAGCTGGCGGCAACTGAGGTAGAAAGCAGCTCTGTTGTCGTCAGTGGGGTGGTCTACGTAGGCTTTCTGTAGGCGGTTCTTCTCGGCGAGCAGATTGCTGATGACGGCGTCGTTATCGTCGAACCAGTCCTGGTGTTGGCGGGGAGCGCGACCGAGGACGGCGAGCGCCGTTGACTGGACCGTGTCCCGCAGTTGACACCAGCGGTTCTCCACGGAGGCGTTTTCGGCAACGGCGGTGTCAGCAGCTATGGGAATGTTGTCAAGCCGTTGAGCTAGCTCGTTGCTGAAATGAAGATGGTGAACGAGCAAAGACAACAAGACAGTATTCAGCTTGCCTGGGGGTCGCTTACCTTGTGGTCTCCTGCGAGGCTGTAGGCGAATACGCATCTTCGAGATGACGAGGCGATGGTCGGTCCACCCGTTAGTACCCGCGATCACCTTTGTCACCAGCACGTCCCGCTGATCTCGCCTCCGGACGAGAACATAGTCCAGCAGGTGCCACTGACGCCACCGAGGATGCTTCCAGATGGCCTTCTCTCGCTCCGGCAGACAGAAGAACGTGTTCGTCAGGATGAGGCGGTGTTCTGCGCAGGTGCGGAGGAGAAGCAGGCCGTTGTCGTTGGAGCCGCGGAGACAGTGAGGACCCAGCACTCCTCTCCAGGCAGTATGGTCTGTGCCGACGCGGGCGTTGAAGTCGCCAAGGACAATCAACTTGTCCGCCTTCGACACAGTCGCCAAGAGGGCGTGCAGGTCCTCGTAGAATTTGTCTAGTGCGGCGTCGGGGCTGGTCATCAGCGGAGCGTAGGCGCTGATGATGGTGGCGAATTTGCCCCCACCCCGGAGAGGCAGACGGAGGCTCATCAGGCGATCATTGATGCCCTGCGGCAGACAGGGCAGTCGTCCCACGATGTCGGTCTGGATGGCGAAGGCGAGACTCGCGTCTTGTCGCTCTGCCTTGGGTCGACCACTCCAGAAGAAGGTGTAACCGGCACCCTCCTCCTCCAGTTGGCTATGTTCGGAGAATCGGGTCTCACTGAGTGCGGCGATGTCCACCTTGTAGCGCGCCAGTTCTCGTGCCACTAGAGCCGTCCTCCGTTCCGGTCGGTTGATCCTCGGATTGTCTAAAAGGGAACGAACATTCCAGGCTGACAGAGTGAGCGGGCTCACCCTGCCAGTCTGGCGACTGCGTCGGCGAAAACTAGGACTAGGGGAAGAACTAGAATAGGCTTGACGGGGAAGGGAGTGATTGTTGTTGTTGTTTCGGTTTTGGCTGTTTCGACCATGTGTGTTATGTCTGCGGCCACGGCCAGGCTACAGACAGCGTGGTTCCCAGCGATCTTTAGGGCACCTTTTCTAGTCCCCTCCCCCTCGCGGGGGCAGGCAACGCATCCCTGAATAGGGCTGCCCGGTTACCCCAGACGGCTGCCGGACTCCACTATGGGCCACGACTTTTTTTAGTGAGAGAACGACCCGAGTTAGCCTGGGACCTTGGCGGTGATGGTGATGATGTCATTGAGTGAAGTAGGAGAGAGCATACACACTACCTAACGCTATGGCACTTAGAACTAGAGTGGACAAGCGGACACACTCATCAGTCAGAGACAAAGTGAGGGCACCACACAAAGTCAAGCACCGTAACACCTAGCTATTAGTGGAGAGTGGCATAGACTGACGGACAGACAATCGCAGCAGGCATAGAGGGTGTCGTTTAGCTATTAACAGACAGACTAGCATATAAAGGGCAGGCAGCAAGCGGAGTGTGCGACGCGGAACTTCAACAAACAAAAGGAAGAAACAAAGCAAGCACACTTACCTGAGCGGGAACTTACCTGGTGGCCGCCTACGATGGTCCAGGCAGAGCCTCGTCTCGACGATGTCGACGCGAAGATCCATCCGGCCAGCGCAAACACACCAACAGAATGCTATGGAACTTACAGCTAGAATGGACAGGCAGATACAGTCATCAGTCAGAGACAGAAGTAGGAGGGCATCCTTCAAGATCAAGCACAGTAACACCTAGCTGTTAGCAGAGAGGCATAAACTGATATACAGACAAACAGTCGCAGAAGGCATCAAGAGCGGCAGACAGCACAGGAATTAAGCAGACAAATAAGAAGGCGAGTGCGACAAGTTAGGAATGACATCATTCGTGATCAAGCACAGTTTCATCTAGCTATTAACAGACAGGACTAACATATTGAGAGCAGGCAACAGGAGCAGAATACAACAAAAGGAAATTCACTTACCTGAAGAATCACTAACCTGGTGGCCTCCTGAGATGGTCCAGGCAGAGCTTCGTCTCGACGATGTCGACGCGAGGATCCATCCGACCAGCGGAGACCACGATACCGTGTGAGCAGGTACGCGCACGGATACCCTCACCTGGTTAAGCCCGCCGGTCCAGGCGGTTGCCCGGGGTGTGGCCGCTGAGCAGAGCCCAGCTGCATGGAGCCACAGGTGAGAATTGGGTGTCAGCAAATGGACGCTAGGCGTAGTCTCACCTGCAAGCAAGTGAGCGAACACTACGACCATCACGTCAACCCACCGCTGACACCCCTACACCCCACCATCATCAACACCACCACACCACACATCAAGACCAACTGACCGCAAGCACCCAACTGCCACCTTCCACGAAAGTGGGAAGTGTGCATCTCGACTGGGTCCCCATGCGGCTTCGGCTGCACGGGTGACTTGAGTCCGAGACTATCCCGACACGTCAAGCGTTGTGGATAGGAAGGTTGCTGATTGACGCCCGCTCTCGGCTCACGCAGTTCGTCGCGTTGTGTGTGTGTGTTGTGTGGAGTGGCGGACTGGTGGGCTGGGGGCGGGCTGAAACAGCACCTTCCACGGCATTCTCACGCAAATGAGAGACACGCCGTTCAACCCCCGTTGTGTGAAATCCTGGTGTTTGTGTGTATGGGGGGCCAGATCGTGCCGTGCCGCGCGCAGTCATGGTCAGTCGACCGTGCCAGCCACCGCGCCCATTCCCCACTCCAGTCTGCTGACCGGCTCGGAGAGCGGCTGGGGTGTGGGAGTGGGAAGGGAGAGTGAGGTCGACGACTCAGCGCACTTTCTCATCACTATAAACAATCTGATGCGCTTGAAGCTATCACGGTGCGCTAAAAGCCGTGGCTTGGAAGGTTGCCAACTGACGGAATAACTTTGACCTCTTTTTAAGTATTGTATTGTATTTTTTAGGGTAATAGGCAATGCCCTTGATGACCCTATTGAAAACGGTACATAAAATATAAATGTTGAATGTACATTTTACTAAAATTTTGTCAGTAACATATTTGTTCACGGAAAACTTTCACAATGCGGGACTGCAAAGGGTGCGGCAGGCGGTCTTCTCAGTGTACACATGAAATTTTAAGTGCAGTTATATACAATCAGCATAAAGTGCAGGCATTTGCATAGTTTGAGAGGGGGCATCTCATTAAGAGTCAGGGGTGTGCTAAGTAGGGATGAAATCAAGAAATGAAATTTATGGCTGGCCGCAGGTAGTCCTGATGTGAAAGTCGTCGTTTATCAAATATCAAACGATCCAGCTGCCTTTTAATTACAGCGATTGTATCAGATGTCACTATTTCACTTGGGAGTGAGTTCCATGGTCGAACAACACGCTGGCTGAAGGAAAACTTCCGATTGTCTAGGCGTGTATGCTCCCGCTTGACTTTGTAAGGGTGACCGCGCAGGTGACTCGTGGTCGTGAATTCAAAGAAGTCGTCAGTTTTGAGCGAACATTCATGCCCGTGGATAATGCGGAATGTCCATAACAGGTCACACCTCATTCTTCTATAGGATAGGGGGAACAAATTTAACTGGATCAGTCTTTCTGAGTATGACAGAGTCCTGAGACCGTCCACCAGTTTTCTGGCCCGTCGTTGCACCTGCTCTATGGCATCACTGTCTTTCCTCATCCAGGGCATCCATGATGGTATTCCGTATTCCAAATGCGGTCTGACGAACGTGCCGAATATCTATGAGAAGAGTTCTGGAGGAAAGATTTTGAAGGCACGCCTAATCCAGTGCATGATGCTGGTTGCCTTTTGGACGACTCTTTTGCAGTGCTGAGAAGGCAGCAAGTTTGAGCATGTCCAGACACCTAGGTCTTTGTGCGTATCCACTTCATTTAGTGGAACCCCATTTATGATGTACTGATGTTTTGGGAAGCGCCTCCGTCCAGATTCTAGTCGCAAGACTACACACTTGGATACGTTGAACGCTAGAAGCCACTTGCTGGACCACGCAGCCAGCTTATTAACATCTTCCTGTAGCTTTTGCGCGTCTTCAACGCAGCTGATTGTTTTCCAGATCTTTATATCATCTGCAAACATGATGCCATCGCATTCAAGGTCTGCAGGACAGTCATTTATATAGATGAGGAAGAGGAGAGGACCCAAGACTGAGCCCTGCGGAACGCCGCTTTTTACTGGCACCCATTCGGATGTAGTGGCACCAACGATGACTTTTTGGAGCCTGCATGACAGGAAACTTTTAATCCAATTAAAAATGCTGCCCTGTATTCCACACTCCCAAATCTTCTGTAGCAGTCGTCCATGAGGAACGCTATCAAACGCCTTCTTAAAGTCAAAGAAGATGACGTCCACTGGACGGTCCTGGTCTATGGCTCTTGTCCACTTTTCCTGAGAGTAAAGACTGCTTGTAAGACAGGAGTGACCACGACGAAATCCGTGCTGAGCAGCACATAACAGGTCCCTCTGCTCCAGATACGACATTAAGTGACTAATAGGACGGTAGTTTTCGGGTTCCAGTCTGGATCCTCCTTTATAGATTGGAGAAATATGGGCCGTTTTCCACTCCTCCGGCAGTTCGCCTTCTTCCATGGACTTCCGAAATATCATGGACACCGGCTCACAAAGTACATCAGCTAATTTTCGGAGGACAAGTGGATGAATTCCATCTGGACCAGGTGATTTGGCAGGTTTCAGCCGGCGTAGTTCGGTCCTTATCAACGTGGGTGAGAAGAAAAGATTGTCTTCCAATGCAGGACAGGAGGGATATTGTCGTTGGTCTACATATGGCATGGCAGGAGGGTTTGTGTCATGAGTGAATACCGACTGAAAGAAATTGGAGAAGGCTGATGCTTTCAGGTGGTCATCCGTCTCAATTACTCCGTTTTGGGATCTTAGCGCTGGAATCGGTTCACGATTGCTCTGTCCCTTACGTATGCAACTATAGAGGATTTTAGGATGCTCCAAGGAATTTTGTAATACGCACAGCTCATAGTTTCTTCGAAGTCTATGAGCCTCGCGTTTACACGCATTCCGCTGTCGCTTGTATTCCGTCAGGTCTTCAGGACTTTCTGTTTGTCGATAGCGTCTCCACACTTTATTTCTCCTCTTAAACGCGGTTTGAAGTTTCCGGTTTATCCACGGCGGACGGTTGCTAGTTTTCTTTCATCTGAGTGGACAGTTCAGATCAACGATTCTTTTGACCAGTGAGCTGAACGTGCTCCAATAGTCATTAACTGTTCCTTGTAATGTGGTTGTCCACGGTATTGCTGAGGCTTGCGTTCGCATGCTAGAAAAATCCCCCTTCCAGATATTTGCCTGTAATTGTTCAGGGGAATTAGGCTGGGAGAACATGGAATACTCGAAGAGCATCACAATATGATCACTAGCACCAATTGGCGGGAGATCTTGTATATCCAGCACACTCTCCTCATCTCGAGTGAGCACCAGATCGAGGCAATTTGAACGTTGCCCTTCCCTAACACGTGTTCCGAGAGTTACATTCTGGAAAAGTAGTTTTTCTGCTGCCAATTCAAGCAAATGTTGTCCGAATGTGTTCGATGGACCCGCAACCGTCCAAGCTTGCCAGTCGATATTGGGGGTCTGAGAGTCAGGCTGCAATGGCTGTTTCTTAATGCGGACTTTATGGCACTCCCATCACAGTGTGGGATCCGAGCCAGACGTTGGCAGCACGCCCAGGTGCGGCTGCTTTGGTCGTACCAGCCTCCAAATCTCTGTTGGGATTGGTTGAAGACATGGTCATTTGTTGTGTGGACCAGGGGGTGTGGTGGAACGCCAAGGTGAGGATTCGTCCGAGCCATCCACCTGCGGCCTCCCTCGCCTCTCGCCTTTTTGACTGTGTCTTGACACCGCGTTCAGGCGGGAGAGGAAGAGGGAGTGTAGGTAGATGCTACGCAAGTCTACTGGCACTATAAACCCCTGAGCAAGTCACCGTCCCTGCTCCCATTGCTACTGCAACTGTGGGGCACACGGTGGACATCATCGAAACCGATGGTCGAATTGTCAGTGTGTGTGCGTGTGTGCCCTCTAAACGGGCCACGTGTTAGATGCGCTGGACCAACACCGTGGCCACATCGGACTCTGGCAGGCGTTATCTGTGCGCAATAACTAATGCCAAAATTTGCCGGGGTGCTCTGGCGGACCCTGTTGTCGGCATTCGTCGAACAAGGGGACCACTGTCAGCACCCCATTGTATTGTGGTCAAAATTCTGGTCATTTGTGTATGGACCAGGGGGTACGGAGTGGAGCGCCAAGGCGAGGATCCGTCCGAGCCATCCACCTGCGGCCTTCCTTGTCTCCATTCTTCGTGTCTCTCTCTCTTGACAACGGACTCAGGCGGGGAGGATGAGAGAGTGTAGGTAGATGCTACGCAAGTCTACTGGCATTATAAACCCCTGCGTAAGTCATCGTCCCTGCTCCCACAATGCAGTCTGCGGGGCACTCGGTGGACATCATCGAAATTGATGGTCGAACTGTCGTGTCGTGTGTGTGTGTGTGTGTGTGTTTGTATGCGGTAGAGCACTTCGTGATAGCGCAGAGCAATATTAGCACACTTTAGTTGACAATACAAGCATCACTTTTTGAATTTGGTGCAGAAGTTTCCCACTTCTAGTCCGGTTAAAAATAAACCTCATCGATTAGGTCCTCCTCCGACAGGGAGGCAAAATGCATTTGGATACGGTGATGAGGTTGTATCACCCAGTCCTCTTCCATAAATTTAATTATCCAAATGACATTTTTATGGAGAATACTACGCTGTGGTGGCGCAAATTTAGTGGCTCCGTGGGAAAATGTACTGCCATGTAGACTTACCTGAGTCGAGGGCGCAAGTTGATGGGAACTGGGACGATAAAATTTTGCGCACTGCAGAACATTCGAACATTTCGCATAACCTTAGCGATTGAACAGTGTGCAAGTGGTATCCTGGGCTGCGCATGTGCGCACTAGTAGGTCTGTTCGTACGTTTCCGTGAATGGACATATCGCGGTCTTAAAAAGTCTCATAATTAGAAACTTTTTTAAAACCTAATTATACTCATTCCTTAAGT